ATAGCCACTCTCACTCTGACTTCATTTAATTAGCTTTAAACTGATGTAACACACAGGTGAATCAAGTCCAATACTTCCCTTGTTTGCATCCTTCTTTATGAACAAAATGTCCCTTTAGAATCAGCGTATTTCATCTGTCTCAGCCAGAAGTGGATTTCTAGATGTCGGCTGGCTTCTTCATTCTTCCACAGAATGTGACACAAGATTGAGAAATAGTGTTACTCCACAGATATAAAGGTTTCTGTTTTCTTCACTATTATTTCTTTATTCTTAAAACAATTCTCTGCCTTAGAATATGTAATCTGAAAACATGTTCCTGAGAAACATTTTGTATCAACTGAAGATAGAAACCGAAAAATAGAACTCTGTGCATAGTACTAGATTGTATGTTACTTGTTTAAAACATAAATATCCAAAACCATTCCAGGTGTAACTTTAAGAGGCATCTAATACTTACGATATAAGTTGGGAAGAATTTTATTATAAGCTATTCTCTTCTTATATTGTGATTATCACCATGGTACTTGATCACCTACATCATGTTTGAATATATTGCTTATAATGTTCTGTTAATTCAATTCACTCAAAAGTAGAGTGATTTTTAACAGTGCTGACCCTGGCACTTTAAGAGGGAGCAAGGACAGCATGCCTATGCCAGATCAGCTGCCCCAGATGAGGCTTTAAAAGAGGGCTCCTGAGGAGGAAGAGGATGGCCTTGGTGAGTCACAGCTGAAGAGCAGGAGGACTGCCAAAGTGCCCTGGGATGGGCGGCAGTGAGACCTGAAGAGGGAAAAGGAGGAAAATACCCTGGTGATAGTAGGCTAGGGTGAGTTGAAGAATTGTTTGTTGCTTATGTTTGAGAACTAAAACCACCTAAAAGAGACTTTGGGATGTGGCAATGAGTCCCTCAGGAAGATGGGAAGAAGCTGAGCCTAGTTACAAGTTTCTTGTTATTTATTATTTGAATTACAATAGCACCTACTTGCTAGGCCCCATAGAGGCATGCAGCTGGCAGTTCTTCACTCAACAATTTTGCAACCTTACAAATAAAAGTTAGTTTGTTAGTTTCTAAAGACCTCAAGCCAGCTTCTGCTCTATCAATGTACCTTAGAGTAACTCCTTTTGCTCCTCTGAGTCTACAAGTCAGTGCAGCAAACTCAGAGAAACATCTTAAAAGTAATATTTCATCTTTTTATTTTAAATAAGCAATGAAATGTGTGTGGGAAAAAATCAGCTCTGCTGAAAGATAATCTCCTTGTCAATCCAAGAACAAAGGAAAGGAGTATGTTAACATGAATTAACTTGTCAAAAGGAATGAACCAGGCAGGATAACTATGTTCTTGATGTCCCACTAATTTTTGGTATCGTTTATTGTTCATCACTCTCAAAGCGTGCGTGCGTGTGTGTATAACCTGTAAAATTAATTTAGACAGAATATATGGGAGTTAACATGATTCTGTCCAAAATTAAACAGTGTTTAACAAAATCAGTTCAGTACATAGAGACTTCAGCCTACTTTGAACCATGACAAATATACCATTAACAATCCTTTTTAATCTTAAAGAAGGGGAAACAGTTAAAGCATTTGAAATGCAAAGTAATAAATAAGGCTTATATTTTAACAGCTTCCTTTTCTTTCCAAGTAGCTGGAGGGCATTTTGGAAGGGCACCCCCCTGTGTGACACTTGTAGAACACATCAAAGATTATAATTATGCTTTTGGAGAATGGGGAAAGTTGAGATGGGCTAAGGCTGTTGCTGCTGCTGCTGCTGCTGTTTACGTCCACTCCTGTTTCATGCAAGGTGCCAATGATTTAGCTGGGGTCAGTGGAAGCAACAGTGTCATCTGGATCCCTCTCAGGATTCTGGGGCCAGGAACCAAGCCGACAAAGGATCCCAGGAGATGGTGGGGGTGGCAGCCAGTACTGTGAAGCTCAGTCCAGTAGTTTATATTTCTTCCCAGAGTCTCTTTCTTCAAAATCCCACAAAGGGACTGATGGGTGGAAATAGCCCATCTTATTATTTTGTCCGCCAGTTGGGCTAGTTTCTGACACAACAATGTAAGTTCACTGATTTTTGGTTAAACACATTTCTTGTTTACCAGGTATGATCTTAACATAGCTTTTGAGTTAGTTCAGTATTTTTTGTCTGAACTAATTCAGTCTTTGTCTCCCTTTCGGTCCTTTTCCCATCAACATTTGTTGTAGGTTACTGTGACATCTTATGAACTCACACTCACTTTTTACAGTTGAACTATGGATCCATTATTATGACAAACCTAAGGTATCTGGGACATCGAACATCCACTATCCTTGTTAGCTGATTCTTTATATAAAGGTTATTATGGCTTATTCTGTTGACCCCACCCCCACCCCATTGAATGAATTGGTTATTTTATAGGTATTAGAAAAGTTGCCTTATGTACATACTGTTCTGAAACAATAGTTCATCAGAGGCATTTGCGATGAGTAGCACAATGAAATGGGAATCAGCAAGTTAGATGTATCTTTTTGAAAAGATTCACTGTTCTGACAGCTGGAAGTTTTCAATTAGCAATAAGCGCACCTCGGAGTAACCTCATTGGCTACGATACTGCCACTGCGCAAAGCTTAAAAGTTCTGTTTTTCTTTATTTTGAGTTTATAACCTCATGCTGCTTTTCATGATAAAAGACTCTGATTCCCTAAATATAAGCAGGGGCATAACCAATCCAATTGTGCATTATTTCCTTTTACTTAGTGCAGTGGGTCTCAAATGTTAGCAACTCAAAGCCTCCCATTTTGATTTAAACATTTTCACAGATACCCCCCGCCCAAGTTTCTGCCTCAGCCCTTGCCCCACCTTTTCATAGAATCATAGGGCTGGAAGAAACCTCAGGAGGTCATTGGATCCAACCCCTTGCCCAAAGCAGAATCAATCCCAACTAAATCATCCCAGCCTGGACTTCGTTAAGACGGGACTTATAAACCTCCAGAGATGGAGATTCCTCCACCTCCCTAGGTAACCCATTCCACTGCTTCACCACCCTCCTAGAGAAATAGTTTTTTCTAATATCCAACCTAGACCTCCCCCCACTGTAATTGAGGCCATTCTCCTCATTCTGCCATCTCTCACTACTGAGAACAGCCTCTCTCCATCCTCTTTGGAACCTCCCTTCAGGTAGAGAAAGGTTGCTATCAAATCCCCCCCTCACAAACTGTAGACTAAACAAGCCCAAATCCCTAAGCCTCTCCTCATAGGTCATGTGCTCTAGCCCTCTAATCATTTTTGTTGCCCTCTGCTGGACTTTCTCCAATGTGTCCACATCCTTTCTGTAGTGGGGGGCCCAGAACTGGACACAATACTCCAGATATGTCTTCACCAGTGCAGAATAAAGGGGAATAATCACTTCCTTAGATCTGCTGGCAATGTTCTTCCTAATGAACCCCAATATGCCATTAAGCTTCTTGGCTGCAAGGGCACACTGTTTACTTATTTCCAGCTTCTCATCCACTGTAACACCCAGGTCCTTTTCTGCAGAACTGGTACTTAACCAGTTGGTCCCCACCCTGTAACAATGCTTGGGATTCTTCGGTCCCAATGCAGGACTCTGCACTTGTCCTTTCTGAACCTCATGAGATTTCTTTTGGTCCAATCCTCCAATTTGTCTAGGTCACTCTGGACCCTAACCCTGCCTTCCAACATATCTACCTCTCCCCCTAGCTTATCATCTGCAAACTTGCTGAGGGAGCAATCCATCCCCTCATCCATTAAAGATTAATAAATTTGATTAATTCATTAATAAAGATGTTGAACAAAACCAGCCCTAGAACTGACCCTTGGTGCACTCTGCTTGATACCAACCTCCAACCAGACATTGAGCCATTGATCACTACCCGTTCCATCCACCTTACCATTTATCCAGTCTATATTTCCTTAACTTGCTGGAAAGAACACTGTGGGAGACTGTATCAAAAGCTTTTCTAAAGTCAAGGTATATAAAGTCCAGCACCTTCCCTGTGTCCACAGAGCCAGTTACCTAGTCATAGAAGGAAATTAGTTTGGTCAGGCATAACTTGCCCTTGGTGAATTCACGTTGACTATTCTTGATCACTTTCTCCTCTTCCAAGTGCTGTAAAATGGATTCCTTGAGGATCTCCTCCATGATTTTTCCAGGGACTGAGGTAAGGCTGATTGATCTGTAGTTCCATGGATTGTCCTTCTTCCCTTTTTAAAAGATGGGCACAACATTTGCCTTTTTCCAGTTGTCTGGGACCTCCCTGGATCACCAAGAGTTTTCAAAGATAACGGCCATTGACTGTGCAATCACATCATCCAACTCCCTCAGCATCCTTGGATGCATTAGATCCAGCTCCATGGATCTGTGTATGTCCAACTTTTCTAAATAGTTCTCTTCTCACCCTTGCTCCAGCCTGGCTCCTCTCCTTCCTTCCCCAGTGCCTTCTGCATGCTTCTGAACAGCTGTTCCCTGGTGTGCAAGAAGCACTGGGAGGGAGAGGACGAAGTTGAGTCAGGGAAGGGAAGGAGTTGATCAGTGGGGCCTTCAGACCCTCTGCAGAACCCTCGCAGACTCATTTGAGAAACACTGATTTAGCGAAGCCAAGTATCAAGTAGGGCAGAAAGCATTAGGCTGCAGGTGGAAGTAGAATGAAGGGCATATAGAAGCTGGAGAGAATCCCTTCTGGAATTTTCAGAAATGAGGTACATTCTGAAGCATAATTTCTAGGAAAGCCACACAGTGGCATTTCAGAGGTAAAATAGCAGCCACTGTGTCACAACATCAGCAGTTCTCTAGCTAAGAATAAAGAATATCTTTTGCTTTCATATTCACTTGAATGTGAGTGCCAGCAAATTGCCAGCATTCATTCACAAAGCAACTATGACTTGAAGATTAGCCGCTGTTAAAATCTGCAATGGAGTCCTTTACATACAAGGTTGAAACAAATTACCCCCACCCACTTCACCTACAAAATAAGAAGTGAACGGTGAGGAAGAAAGTTAATAGACAAATATATTTTCAGAAATAACAGCAACGGGAGAATTAGAGTTGTGATAACAGCAACTCTGATTCTCCCGTCAGGGAAGGCCTGATCCAAAGTCAACTGAAGTCTGTGGGACTCTGTCAATTGACTTCCATGGGCTTTGAATTGGGCCACACAGAAGTGCATTGCTGATCTAGTTCTGGAGAAGATATGCCTCTGTGAAGGTGACTGGATATGGCTCAGAAAGAGGGGCAAAGAAAATGTCCTTGTCTATAAAAGGTTTCTTTTCCTTCCTATTTCCCAGGTGTCATCTTCTCTTTTCCTTGCAAACATCAAATTTCAATGGCATAAAACTCCCATTGGAATCAGTGGACTTTGGATCAAACCCTTTGTGAATTTCTTTGTCATCCAAAACTACTATTTACTTTAGGGGGAGATTTGGTGTTTTCTTTCCGTCACTTGCTAAAACAGGCATAGCTCTTAATGCCCATTAAACAAACATAACTAAATTTTTGTTATTTTAGCCATATCTCACTCTTCAGACAGGATGCCTTTTTATATTCCTTTTTACTGAATATTCATTATAATATTTTTAATAATGCTGGTTGTGCTTCGTGGTGGAAACTAGTGCTATCATGTATATTTTGGGGTTTTTTTAAACCATATTGCATCCACTTCTACTAAATCCTACACTCATTAGGGGTTGGCATCTAAATTGCTGGAAAGTTTCAGATCTTTCTATTCTTCTAGAACTTCTTTTATTGTTGTGGCTGCTGCCCTTAAATTGATCTTCGGCATGGCTTTGAGAGCTGGAATATACTAAAACTAATCATCTGAGTATTTCTTGGCAGGTAAGGAACAACTTTTGAAATTTAAGAGTATTGGAAGCCATCCAGTAACTATCGTCACTTGCTCTGAAAATGATCCTTTCTTTGAATCTGAAGGAAATTTACTAAACAATACTAAATTAAAGTATTCCATGGCTCTAAAATTAACAAAGCAATTGGGATCATAAAACTTTAAATATTGAACTTTAAATATCTGAATTAACTTAAGCCACAAACTGCTTTTCTTGGTGCCAAAAATTTGGATTTATCATTGGCCATGTCTTTAAATTCTGGCCAGCAGCACTCTCTCGCTTCTTCAAAGGGGTAGCTGAGTTAGTCTGTAACAGGAAAAACTTAAACAACAAATAGTCTAGTAGCACCTTAAAGACTAACAACATGTTTTGTTAGTCTTTAAGGTGCTACTAGACTATTTGTTGTTTTTTAAACATACTCCATATGTATAGTCTTTCATCACCTCTGCTGCCCTTCCAAGAATGCTGTGCAAATAAATGACTGCCATTGAGACTTGCAAAAAAAATGGCATCCTTCACAGAAAAATTGCATATGAATCTTCTAAAAGTGGCAGTTCCTGAACTTTATAATTATTACTTCGTAATCACTTAAACTAGCCATTGTTTTTAATATTATGCTGACCATTTTTAAAGCTATCTCTTAGAGATCAAAACTAATGTGTTAACATGCTCGACTAATGCACCTACCTGCACCAGAATTTAATAAAAAGGATCCCTGTAGCTGGCATGGTTTGCTGTGCATTTCTCACAGTGCTCCCAACAATATTAGTATTTAATGACTCTGCTCTGATAAATCTGAAACTGTATGAACAGAATATCTTCCATCTAGTTGTACTTAAGGTAACATCAACTTTCATTTGTATCATAGCCACTTGCAGCCATTCAAATATCCTCCAGAAATGATGAAAGGGACATTCTATCCCTTTTCACAGCTGAATGAAAGACTTGTAACAATGAGTTTGCCTTACATATTGCTTTTGGATTACTTTTAATAAAAAGCATTTGTATTCCAGAAAGGAAGCAAAAAATATAATTAATCAGCGACACAACTGAATAGGCACACTGTCTAAGTGATTCATTAAGAAGTAGTTTCCAGAATATTTATTTTGATACACATTTTATAATTCATTAGCAGCATAATAAATTGAAGACACTCAAATAGATGCATTTCTATTTTTACACCTTTTGAATTAAATATAAACTAATGTCCCAGCTTCCTGCAGTAGTGGTAGAAACACTGGGGTTGCGTCTACACTGGCATGATTTTGCGCAAATACTTTTAAAGGAAAAGTTTTTCCATTAAAAGTATTTGCGCAAGAGATCGTCTATACTGGCATGTGCCTTTGCGTAAAAATTTGCTTTTGCGCAAAAGCATCCGTGCCAGTGTAGACGCTCTCTTGCGCAAGAAATTAACGTTGCTGTCTACACTGGCCCTCTTGCGCAAGAATACTTGCACAAGAGGGCTTATCCCTGAATGGGAGCATCAGAGAATTTGCGCAAGAACCACTGATTTTGTACATCACAAAGTCAGTGTTCTTGAGCAAATCCTCGCGGCCAGTGTAGACAGGTGGCAAGATTTTGCGCAAAAGCACCTGCTTTTGCGCAAAATCTTGCCAATGTAGACACAGCCTGGGTGTGTCTGCAATGGATAGGAAGGGCAACAATAATGGTGAATGCAATTAATGCAATAAAGAACCTTGTACAGGCAGGAGACCTTAGAATCATAGGGTTGGAAGAGACCTCAAGAGGTGATTGAGTCCAACCCCCTGC